TGGATTATGATTGGCGAACGCTGGAGCTGATCAACTGAAACAAATGATAAATAATAAAACCCTCATAACAGAACACGAGAGAACATACAAATAGTTAGTGTACATCAGCGAGTACCTATTTCTATTGTTAAAAATAAATTATTTTTTGAATTCCTAAGATTCACTTAAAATTATATGAAATCATAAAAAATTGTATTGCTATATTTGGACAAGTTAAAAGTATATTAGTTATAGACACCGGATTATAAAAAAAAAGAAAAATGGTATCTATTTATTATCACTTCTTAGTTTACGCTGAAGAATATAAAGCTGTTAATATTAAAAACGGATGTGTAAAAAAATCAGTAAAACACATCATCGTTTTTGTTACCTTTTTTCACTTGTTGACTTAAATTTCCATCGTTACTTTCCTTCTGGGACAAAGAGTAATTTAATAACACAAAAGCAATAAACAGAATCGTCGAGTGCATTACGATGTGTGAGAGAATGAATTCGAGGCAGAAAATTTTATTATGCTCTGAAATAAAGTTCGCTGTGATTTTAAAATGTTTTATCGAATTACCTGAACAGTCAGTAATGTTTAAAGGTTTAAAACTTACTTAAAATTACTTGCTTTCTTTTTGCGGTTTTAGTGTAAATCCCAAATTAATCAATGTCCTTGAAAGCGAATAAACGTTTTTCATTATTCTTTACAAAGGTACTTGAATATTAATGCCAAACTTTATGTTTCGATGTCGAAAAACTCGTTAGTCTTGGGCATTATAAAAGATGTCTTATGTAATAGATTCCTGTAGGCATATTCCACTATTTAGATGGGTATTTTTTTGATCCCGCTCTATTAAAATAGCGGCCGATCTTTATAACCAGAAGAGCTGAACTTTGAGTGACAGGACTTAGATAGGAAGCCGATAGGGAATATTATAGAAGACCTTTTTTTTAATTCCACTCTAACGAAGTTTAAATAAAACAACACGAGTAATTCTTTTTATGTGCCAGTATTTTCTTTATAATTTTATCGAACATTTTATTTGTCATAAATGAAGGCATAACGATAGGCGAAGGACAACAGACGTTATTTCCATCTTCTTTATTCTCAAGCGAATGTTTACTTTTAACAGCACTGCTAGGACTGTAGTTTTCCTCTAGTACTTTACTAAGAACGTCAAGATGTGTAGAACCGTTCTTGTGAGGTAAGTCAAATATCTCGTTAGTTTTCCTCGCGTCCCAAGCTGCAACCGTAAAATGTAAAATAAACAAATATAAAAAGAAATCATCTAGCAAATGTTATTTTATTTATTGCACTAACAACTTGTTTCCCATTTGATTGCTCGCCAAATTAGTAAGGCATTTGGTTTGTCAGACAGCAACAAGTAAAATAACATTTTATTCCATTCTTGACTTATTACTTGGAAATCGAAATTGCTTACTCGAGCGAAATTGTTTTGTTGTTGCCTAGCGATCATATTAGTTTAAGTATTTATTAAATGCAAACAAATGGAACTATTGAGAATATTCAAATATTATTGAACTAAATCTCCTACTTCTAAATCAAATAAAAATCTTAGAAGTAGATGACATTTGAAATCGTTGCATTATCCAAATATTTTTTTAATAAAATTATAAGAATTTCATTAAGTTATATATCCTTTGTTTTGCGATATACAGTAAATAGTTTTTTGATGTCATCTACGATTATTTTTTGTCTTTCTCTTTTGGCCGGGATTCGTTTCTTATAACAGACATTGGGATCTAAGTATGGACAGACACAGTCTGGTTTTTTCTTTATTTTCATATGCAACAGGGCTTTTTTATCATCGTCGTCTTCGTCATCATTTTCTTCATCAATGAATGTCGGTGGTTGTGTAGATGTGGTGCTTCCCCGGTTAGGTGGTGTTTGCCTCCTTTTTTTTTTAGTGGTTGTTGTTTTTGCTTTTGGCGGATGAGTAATTTTATTGCGTGGATTCTCCGGCTCTTCCTTATTGAAATTTTGAATATAGGTATCTTTATATACTTTTTTAGCATAATTTCCCAAATAAACAGGGAATCCTATTGACAATTTCTCACCACTACATTCACCTTCGCATAACTTGTATGGTGCGGTAAACATAAGAAATTTCGGCCTTGACTTTAATTCTAAAAATAATAGATATAAGTTTTACTCGACCTATGTTTTTATATATTGTAATAACCAACTTTTATTCAATAATTTTCCTTTTCATTATTGAACTTGAAATATATCATAACCGACGTGTCCATTGTTCAAAGGCGGAACTAGTAAGTATTAATAGTACATAATATATAGATAATAGTAGATACCTATAAAACATAAGATCAATATTAATTCATGAACTAGAACAGGACTTTTGTACTCGGACAACTTCAAGCAGTTCAGGAGCTAGTATCTTATTTTTCAACCAACCCAACGACAGCTCGATGCAGCCGTTATGACTTGAACGAGGCCGTGTACGGCAGCCCTATGATTCATAAATCAACTGTCAGTAATTAACGAGTGATTTTACTTGTCACCTTTGTAATATTTTGCCTACTTACTTGATCCACTGATGATACGTTCCATGAATTCATTTCCATCTAAAGGTTGCTCATTTTCACGTCCTTGTTTCTGGCGTGTTGTGTATGCGATATTCCAAGTGAAATAATAAAACAAAACGAGTAAATTTAGATTCCGGTAACCAATCATCGTTTATTCTGAAACGAGCTGAGTGTATACAAATTTTCCTCTAGATGCCACAGCTATTTCACAGTCTTTATAAATAGTTTATTTTACATTTTCATTCAGGTTTAAGTATATTTTTGATTTAATAACTAATCAAATGCAGTACTTTAAATAAACATTTTAGCACATGTTATCGTTTGTATAAATTTATTTATGTTGGCGAATATTTTATTTTCATAGAGTCAGACTTTACCACGTCGAAAATAATGTATTGTTCTTTAAAATATTTGATACTATTGCGTGTGAAATAAAAGTTTACGCTTGTAATAAAAGTTTATATTGATTGTATATGAATTTTACGATTTACAACATTACATAAAATAGGCAGTGTTTTATGGTTTTATATTAAAACTAGTTGTTCGCGAATTCGTCCGCGTGGAATTAAAAAAGACGAAACTCCATGTGTTCTTCAGATTACGCTATATGCCAAATTTTATCGAGATTCATTTAGTTTACGCTCCAAACTGTATCAAACATCCATCCACCTAAACTTTCACATTTATAATATTAGTAAGATTTACTAGTAGTCGATAATTTACTACGAATTTCGAGCAATTCAAGTTATTTTTGAATATGGGTTTAATAATGTCGACGAATGTAAATTATTTCTAATAGACAAAAGAGTTAATGACAATAGTTTCGCTGGGGATGAGATTAAAATAGACGACCAAGAGACTGGCATAGAATGACGGAATGTTGAATATATAGCTGTCTAATGACATTGCAAAAGTAGCTTTAAACACCTACTACTAATCCGGGATAGAGGCCATAAATATGTACGAAAACGTTCTCACTAATATTCGTGATAAGCCAGTACGATCTTCATCGTTGTGCCATCGCCGCGACCAATTAATGAGATGGTCTGATTTTATTCTTATCTCCATGTTACTAATCGAACATCTAGGAAATCTTGATCATTGTATCATTTAATTATCTACAATTTGGCTGAATGCCGCCTTTACCTGGTAGGTAACCAAGTGTTCTGGACAGCGTCCAAACGATTACATTCACTGAGCTGTCAAAGATAAGTTATTTTAGAGATCTCGACATTGAAATTTAGTGGACGACGAACGAATATGTCAAGCCTGACAATAAACGATATAATTCAAGTGTTACCTTACAATATGTTATTGGTAATTGATATAACGTTTTGTTTCTCAAAGTGACTTTTGTACAGACAAGACAGAAGACAGAAGTTAATATAGAAACTAAATATGGCATCTCATAATTAAATTAAAGCAAACACAGAAGCCGTGACTGACGTTTGTCACTATTAAAACTCAAATAAGCCAAAAAACATTACCATCTTGTCAGTTGGAAATTTATTAACTAAAATATCACTATATATTAATAGTATGACCTTTGTAAAATTACCAAGAACTAAATAATAAATGTTAATAACAAATTGTTAATAAATCTAGTGATAGTAATGTTTGCGTACAAGTTTATTTTGATTTAATACTTGAGAGCGAGGATAGATTCGACGTTCCTTTATTAATTCAGCTTCCGCCCCCTATCTCTTTTCCACAATAAATTGTCTCGGAACAATTTGTTATTCAAGGGGATTAAATAAGGCCCATTTATATAGCAATTTATCTAATATACCCTATTAGTCGAAAAACAGGATCGATTATTGTACATTACTCACCGGCATATTAAATTACGAGTAATTTTGATGTTAATTATTGTGCCGAGGCGACACCGGAAAACGACGTTGGTATTTATTTCCTCGACTGTCATTTGTTTTACTTGTACTAAGAGCTTCTCTATGTTTCCGTGACAATGAGCGATCGCCAACTAAAGCATTTCTAAAAGCATTGTTTAAAATTTAAAGAGAAATACACTACACGTTCAGAACTAATTTTGAATGTTTAACAAATAACTACATTGTGTGTAAGCAATCCAGTCCAGACTTGTTAACATAACTATTTCTACAGTATTATATTTATGAGCTACTTTTGTATCTCAATTTAGATCATAAAGTAAAGTGCAAATATCGATTTTTGTTTACAACAAGAATAGTTTGAAACGTCAGGTGCGCTTTTCTAAACAACAGAAAGTGGTATAAGAGTTTCAAACGTAAACTTACTAAAATAATTCAAAAATACATCGCCTTGCATCTGTGTCTAAAAATCGCTGTGCTGTGTTAGTTTGAAGCATTAAATAAATATCTCTACTGTTCAATACCAGATCAGATATTTTAGTGAAGGCAAATCTTAGTCACTTGTTATTTAAAGGTCTTCGCAAGCATAAATTAAAGACAATATAAAACTTATTATTTATTGTCTTCTCAATGATGTTATAATTAGGAATGCGGACAGCTTTCGATGTGATGTGTACTTGATGCGCTTACCGGCCATCGGCGAGAGATAGCTCACGCCAGCGAAATCCTGTAACATCGATAAATAGGTCACGCCGGTTGCTGGGGCCTCGTCCGCCTAGCGATGATAAGCGAGGGTGTTAATGCAAAGCTAAAGGGAGACTGAGCTAAATCCGAGATTGGAATACTTCCTCGCGATGCGAGCCTTGCTGTGGTAGCGTTGGAAACGGGCAGCGGTCGAGATGTGATGGAGCAGAGTCGTGTCCTTGTTGTACGTCTTTGAAGAGTAACTGTTATCCTTGGATAGGTACGTCCTTAGAGCTCGTTCGCCCCACGTTTGAGCGCGTGGTCTCTCCACAGGCAATCCTCTATTACGTCTGTCTAAGTACGAGAGAACATCGTCGTAGTAGTTACGCTGGTAATCATAGATGTAATTGTACTGAAGGAATTTCGGTCTGAAATAAAAAAGTTATCTTGTTAATGCTGCAAACTTTTTGGTACATAATAAAGTTGCGTTGGCTTCTTCAGTGTTGTTGTTATTATATTGGATTTGTATATAATTACTTACCGGGTCCAGTGCTTGAATACAAGCCGACGCGGCTCATTCTTTGTGTTGTCAATCGGCGGCGGGGGCTCGGCTACCTCAGGTTTGGCTTCACCGGCTGCGTCTCCCGCCGGGGCGTCCGCGGCTGGCTGCGCTTCCGCGGCCGGTGCTGGGGTTTCTTCCACTACGTCATCCCACATCGCGCAAGAAGATTCTGAGATCAAAATTCATTTATTATTGACTGACACTCGTAAATAATTATAAACTAGTTCATATTTGTGATAACACAACACATAACAAACACGTCACTAAAATAACACGAACCTATTTGGGTATGGAGGAACGTGTGAATAGTTTGATCGTTCGACTGCGACTGATGATCGTTGCTGCCTCGCGCCGTAAGCAGCCTCCCGATTTATCTCCCTTCGACCCCATCTGGCTCAGCACACGTTACTACGCCCGTGGTAATCGCTGCCAATGACTTTCTGTCAATACATTGAACGTTCAAGAAATTCTTCAATGCTACTAATTGCCAGCGTAATTTGCACCAGGGTTCACTTTGATCTATACCAGCGAAATACAATCGGATCTAGGCGTTTGCCAATTGACAAGTAGCTTCAGTACCGTCACTGAAATTAAAATGCAATAGTACATAAATTATATCGCACGGTGATATTACGAATGTTTGATGATAGAAAAACATGGACGCGAGCCAAATTGTGGTCAGCTGTAAAGATAAATATCAATTAATATCGAAGTTCTAAATTACTTGATAGATGTAATAGATAACACAGATGTCACTCTGTATTTTATGCGAAAACTAAATAAACATTATGTTTTATGTTTGAGAAGATACCAAAGTAATAAGGTTTAAGAATATATTTATTTCCTTAATAAGAATTACAAAATTCACTTACTTAAGGAACTTATTTATCTAACATTTATATTATTATA